GTAGTACGTACGTACGTACGTACGTAGTAGTACGTACGACGTACGACGTACGACGTAGAGAGAGAGAGAGAGAGAGAGAGAGAGAGAGAGAGAGAGAGAGAGAGAGTATGATTGCAATTAAGATCCAAAAGGATAATCTTCTTGGCCAATTGTTACCCCTTGGAGCACCTAGAGGCTATCCCTAAAAGGTGGGATGGAGATCTTAAAATTTAAACATCATGACCCTATGGAGTTCCCTCTCTTGGATTGCTGGAGCGAGATCACGGTGTGGGGTTGACACCCAGGTTAGGAGATTCCAGTAATTGTGGTTTTCCCAACTGGGAGTGAGTGTGAGAGGGTCTAGTTATCTATTGGGATATTCCATGTTGGAGCACTGGATATTTTTGGTATGTCCCTGATTCCAAAGGGTCATCACATTTGTGAAAATTGTACTTTGAGGGTTCTTACTGACGCACTACATCCTACCAACTGGTGGATCATTCTGGTAGGATTTGATGGCTCCCTCTTCTAGTTGATTTATCCTGCTGTTTTCTTTTCTAATAGTATTCTTGGTGTATTGTTATTAACAATTTGTACAGATGTGGAGAACTTTGTTATAAGCTATCAAATATTTATTGGTAACTTCCACCAATTTGTTGTTGGAATACGGGAACTTGAGCTTTTCAGTCCATTTTTTTTGTGCATCAAACAAAAAAATGCTATTTGTTTTAGATGATTGTGCATTATTGCATTAGTTTAAGGTAACGTTGCATGCCACCCCAAACCATGGTTTGAGGGCATTCTGGTGATGAATTTGTTTGTGCAAATTGAGAACTAAAAAGTTCATTTTGAGGCATATATGAGCTCATGTTGCCTAAAGTTTCACACACAAAAAGAGGGCCAAAATCACAAATGGAAAATATAGGTCATGAACTCCTTTTTTTTTCTTCTAATATAACAATGCGGGCAGACGCTCGCTCACTGGATATCATAACTCCCTCCTCCCTCCCTTTCTCTGTCTCTCTCTTTCTATCTGCACTCCACTTGAGTTGAGAACAGCAGTCCTCACTACTGGGTACAAACCTTTTTCCTCACTCTAGAAGACCCATATCTTTGTTTACAACATTTCAAAAAGCGCTAGGCGGGTCCTAGGCGGCCTGGGGGGTCCAGGCCACCCAGCGCCAAGGCGAGCACTCAGAACCTGGGCGGCCCAGTTGAATATAAATAAGGATTCTGCAGTTATGTCAGTATTAGTTATTTGTATTGCAGTACATAATTCAAATTATACTACATATTAGCATTTAATACACACTCCATAAGCATAACCATAATCCATAAGTCGGTTCATGTACCATATCCAATTAAAACTTAAAATTTTCCAACCAACCAAATTATCAAACCAAGTTATCAAATAGCATTACACACCAGTAGTACAATACACCACCATGAGAAAGAAAATAAAATTGAATTATGAAATTATGAAAGTAATACTTGAAGACTCAAAAGAATCTTCAATAGTTCAATACACAATACTTCAATCAAAGTTCAAACTTCAAAGTTTAATAATTATTCAACAATCAACATTCATCATCAAATCTTGGGTGAGCTGCATTGGCATCATATTCATTGGAGTCGACGGAGTCGTCACCCTCCTCGACCTATTGGTTGTCCCCGTCCTCCTCCGTCTCTTTTGAATCAGCCTCTTCTTCCTCGTCTTCCTCCATCCTTGTTCTCTATGCAGAAGATCTAGTGGCCCTAGGAGGGTCAGCTGATGTCCTTGAAGCATCCATTACCATGTCCCATGTCAATCCTTCATGCCTCTCGACCTCATCATCATCAACTAACCAGTCCATAACATGGTCCATATTTTTGATCTGATGGGGTCTCTCGTATCTCTCTTAGCTGTCCTTCAAGAATCGATTGTACTTGACATAGACTAGGCCATTGAGCTTCTTTGATTCATGCTTGTTCCTTATCTTTGTATGAATAATATTTATGGTTCATGTATTATTTATAAAATTATACAAATTACCCTTATGTCCTTGCCCCTTCAAAAGTACTCCAATTGTGCTCACAACTGGATGAAGAATTGGTTAGGTTTAAGATCCGAATGGCTAACTTTTGTAAATTTGGTGAACTTCACCCATGTTGGCTCCACCAATGGGCTATAAAGATATAGAAAAAATCATAAGGAAATAATAAAATTACTTGATTACTTGAACTTGATGAAGATGAACTTAATAATATTATTAATACCTAGATTAATTTTGGTCCTTTGCCGCCATTGGACTCCCAAAAGACTTTAATGAGCACTTGTAATTTATGAGCTCATTATCGCATATAATATCCTACATATCAGGATTAGGGACTGGCACCTCTACACAATCATTAATCCATTCATAATTGTGTCATTTGTTTGTATATCCCTGTCAATATAAAGAAAAGCTGGGTTCAAATAATAACTAGTTTCATGCAATGGCCGATGTAGCTGCCTATCGAACTTCTCATCAATAATCTCCTAAACAGGCTTGTAACGGGTTTCTTTATTATTGAAATTTTGGGCTATCTCTCTTTTGCATTTCTCGATAGCATTATATATGTAGCTCATAGAAAGCTTGTTACTATCAACCATACGAAGGACTTTGATAAGAGAAAAAAATACCTTAAGAGCGCCCTTCACTCCTTGCCAAAAAGCCTTAGAAAGGATAATATCTCTCACCTTCTTCCCAACCTGATCCGTAGACCCCTTACATGCTCTCCACTCATCTGAGATGAACATTTGCCTCAACTGTACTCTCCTCGAATGTATGCTATCTAGGCATAAGTACTAAGTCGCAAATCTCGTGGCCCCAAGCCTCGCAATCTCTTTCTTCTTTGTAAAGGTACGCATCATGCTGAGGGTGAGATGGTTGCTATAAATGAAATTTGTAACTAACTTGGTCTTCTTCACTGCACTTGATATCTCGATTAAACCGCCAAGAGCCTCAAGTGTGAGGTCTATACAATGTGCTGCACATGGTGTCCAAAAGATTCTAGGATAAGCTATGCGCAATTAATTAGATGCAACAACATTAGGAGCAACATTGTTTGTCACAACCTGTACAATAAGATGCTCCCCAACCTCCTTGATTCCCTTCTCTATCACTTGAAATATGTAATGGGCATCATGGATATGATCAGAGGCATCAATAGACCTCAAAAAAATAGTCTCTACATGACAATTCACAAGCAAATTCATCTGACTTCTTCTCTTGCTATCACTTCAAGCATCAGTCATAATAGAAACCCCATACTGAGCCCATGCATCCTTCTTAAGTTCTACAGCTTCCTTCATGGCACTCACTGCCTTTTGATATCTTAATAATGAATTGCTCAACTTCTTGACATCCCTTCCCAAAATTTCCTCATCACTTTCATCATCATCAAAGTTGACTCGAACCCCGGACTTAATCTCTGCTATACTAATCTCTCATATTTTTTCATTTTCACCATGTTCAAAAAAATGTTTATTTCCTCTTTAACAAAATCAGGAGTCTTTTTACATGGGACAACATCCCCCCCGATACTGGCAAGATGTTTCTTGAACCGGTTTATGCCCTTTTTGTATTATTTTCACAAAACTTGCATCTTATGCAATTTTTATCATTAGGATCTGGGTTATAGCCATATTTCCAACCGGAATAACCACTCTTATTAGATCCCGAAGAAGACATCTAAAAAATAATGCAAATTACTAAAGTAATAAAAAAAAATCACATCACTTACTTTGAGTTTGATTGCTCAATCTTCAAACTTCCACCTCAAAGATGCTTCTATATACTCAAAATCTTTTAAAAAACCCCTTATAACTTTACAAAACATCAAAAAGTAAATCTAATATCAACGAGTGATGTTTTGATCAATTTTTGTTAACTTTGAGAAACCCTTCGATCCTAAAAATTTACCAAAAAACTAGTTTTTTGGGGGTTTTTTCTCTCTAAAATTGGCTCCAACAAGTTTTAGGGTTCAAATGAATCTAAAACTCTAATTTTGGGCCCTTGAAAACAAAAAAAAAAGACCAAAATTGCCCCTACTGAAAGTCATTTCTGCCCCTGGGCGGGGCGTAGGCCTTGGGCACCCGCCTAGGCGAGTTCCATACTGCCTAGGCGGCCACCCATGGAACGATTGCCCAAATTGGCCGCCTAGGCCTGGGCGATGCACCCAGGCCTTTCAGACCGCCTAGGTGTTGGCGGTCCGCTTTTTGAATCACTGTTTGTTTATAATCATAACGCAATGTCTATGAGAAACACCCGTTTTTCCAAGAGGCCACCATTTCTTGGAAATGGTAGGAGAGCAGGGGGTCAACCACCTCTTTTATCTCTCTAAAATAGAGCAGCCCACCCTCTTTCACTGTGAGTAAGGTGGTTCAAAGCGTAACCACCTCTTTTATCTCTTTTAAATAGAGCAGTCTATCCTCTCTCTCTCATCGTGAATAAGGTGGTTTAGAGCTTAGAAGATAATTGAAACGTAGCAAGAGAACTAACAGGTAGAATTTGTATCCGAGTTTGAAGAGTGAAAATTCATCGAATCACTCCTAATTATTTTGTTCTTTTTTATTGTTATTTTTTGCGCTTGATGATGTTTGAAACTTAATTCAATCAAATCACTAGTGATGCTTATTGAACCCTCTGTTTACCTCTTGTTGAAAATTGTGCTTACATTGCTTTTCCTTTTTTCCTATTGAAACCGTTGGTTTTATTTTGTATGCCCTTGGAGTTAATAGATTGTGAATTGGCAGGAGGCGAGTGATAGTGATCGAGAGAGCAATGAAGGTGTAGGAATGTCTAGGAAACCTCATAAGCGTGCTCGGGGAAAACCCCGAGTTGGCATGTCAAAGGACATGGACCAGCCTTTTCCTGATTTGTCTAAGAATCCAGCTATTTCATCACAGTATGGATGCCTGTCTTTATTGAAGAGAAGACGTTCTGGAGGTATCGTGTTAGTTTTAAATGATCTTTCCAATATACCATGCAATTGCCCACTTTGATAATTTCATTGGGTATATCGAAATTTATAGAATTTTCTTGTACTATTGATGTTGTTATTTTCCATTTGGTATGTGATTTATGAAGTTAGTGTATTTCATTCTTTTTATGTTTGTTATATTCCATTGAACTTTTTTTCTTTACCACATCGTTGGCTCGATAAGAAGTGCTTATTATTTTCATTCAAGTTAAAAGATGAGAATCTTTTTGATTCATTTGATAATGGTTGTGTGTGTGGTATTGCACTAATTTTATGGTTTCTGCTGTTTCAAACTTGAATTGAAATGAGTTCTCTACTTTTGTTTCGGTAAACTAAGTTTGACTTTTACTGATAGCAAGGCAAGATTTAAGTACTTTGGTTGATTGCTGTTGCTACTGAAATAGATGGAACTCAGGGGAATCAACTTAGTTTCAATCTTACAATTGCAGTACGACATCATGGCTTCAAATCTCCCTAATGATCCACCAAACAGAAAAAAAAGAAGTTCGGTTTTTGGTGTTAGCAGTGCGGTGCTGATGAGGGGTTAACACTTAGGATCTGCTTCTAGGAAGGAAATCTTTTTCTAGTTTGAATATGGTTGGAGTATAGTTTTGTTTAAATGATACTTTTGTTAGGAAAGAGTGCGTCCACTTGCAGCATATGCATTTAGTGACTAATACATAGATAAATTAGCCTTGTTCGAGAGAGATAGTGGATCACATGGAATCTTAGCCACCTAATTTGATTTGGGAATTAACTCCTTCGTGGATCTGAGTACCTCTGGAATATTTGTCTTTTTTAGATGGACATGCTGATGATCTCCTCCATCATATTAGGATTGTTCCATGCCTATGGTTCTTTTTTGGGCGTGCACCTAATGTTCAGTGGGTCACTTTCAAAACTGGAGCCATGTTCTGAAAATGGTGAATATGGATCTTTCTTTGACTAGTTTAGCGCCACTGATTCGTAGATGCACAACAAGCATCATTCAGACATTCCATGATCTATTCTCTTAATAGTCTTTCTAATGGATCAGCTTCCTTGAAGAAATCATCATCAAAGTCAAAGACTTCATCAGGAGGAGCAGTCAATCTGGTGACAGATTAGGACCAATGTTGTCTGGACTGGACTGGTGAGGGCACCGGTTTAGTTGGACTAGCAGAGCTGGACAAGTCGGACTGGTCTAATAAATAAAAAATTAACAAAAATATCAAAATAAGGAAAAAATTGGGAAACAAACAGACTAAACAAGGTGCTAGTAAAGAGCCTGATAAAACATTTTAGTACATTTTAGGTACTATCATGAAAAAACAAGGTTAAACATGGGAAAAGACTAAACGAGATGCTAATAAAGAGCCTCCAAATTCCAAAAATGTCGGAGAACACCTTTACCAGGAAAGAAGAAATAAAACTGTAAACAAATTCAGGAATCATCAGCATCATTTGAGCCTTATTCCAACTATTTAGGTTGTCTACATAAATCCTGTTTCGCCATTAAGATCTATTTATTCTCATACCGTTTGTCATTACAACGAATGCCCATGCCCAAGCATGGCCATATAACATAGGTTCAGGATTCATGAAACGATATGGAAATGTTATATGCTGGCTGCCCTACCTAACACAACCGTCCTTTATCCGGGCTTGAGACCAACATGACTGACTTGGGACTAGCCATGGCAGAGTTACAAATTTAGAAATAATACTAAATAATAAAAAGTGCAAATAACACTAAATTTGGACCATCCGGTGCGCATTAAATCACAAACCATTAATAACAATAGATACAACGAATAACACTAAATGTTCCAAAGAATGCAAGCATTTCAGATTGAGACATACCCCTCAATGACCTTCCTGTCCACTATGCTTGATTGAACTAGACTTGAGACTGGTTCACCGGTTTCCGGTTTGAATTGGCTGATCCGGTCTATACATCATTATTCTAGACCATGGTTATAGGAAAATCTTATGTTGATTGTCCTTAATCCCTGAATCATGCTTTACGCTTTGAATTGTTGCAAGTCCTCTTAAATAGGTGCCTAGGAAATTATAACTTCTCCGTTCCTTCCTCATTGACTTACTATGTGTTTGATGGTTCTGGGAAATCATTCCATTCCTTCCATATACTCCAAAGATAGCTGAGAGGTGCATCTTCCAAAGACAGTGTTACATGGATATTGACACTCGTATCGGTATCTAGTATGTATTAGGTGTCTATCGACGCGAGTGTTTAGTATGTATTAGAGTGTCTAGTACGTGAGGTGAAAAAGCTAGTACTTGTCTGACGTGGCCGTATAGTAAATAGCTTTATATAGTATATAATATAATTCTAGGCATTGATCACTTCCATTGTGAGTGTCGTTTTGGTAGGCTGTACTGCTTCTAGTGCCTAATGGGGTGACGTTGTGAGGTTCCACACCCTTGGATCTCATTTTATGAGCTATACAATATTTCTCAGTTAATAAATATTTTCAAGGTTTTTTTATGTGCTTATTATTTGTGAATGACTAGCTGGCAGTGGATAGCATATTAGTGCAGCCTCGCAAGCATCTTGTTACTTTTTACAACATGCATTTATTTAAGTTATTTAAAAGTAGTTGACCATGTTGACCTTAAAAAAAGAAGAAGAAAGGAGGTTCTTACGAATGGAACTGTGGACCTTACAATGTGACGTAAGTTGTTTGCGCTACTACGCGGGCACCATAATTTAAGTGTTAAAAATTGGATGACACTTGAATAAAAAGTGTCGATACATGCTCAAAACATATGACATCAGCAGAAACCTACAATTAAATGTCGGCCACGTGTCTATGCGTGTTGACATCTTGTCACGTGACACCGAGCTAGAGGTGAAATGTCTAGGTAACACTGTCCAAAGAATGCAAGCTTTTTGGACTTAGAGGATATATTCCATATTGCCATGAAGAGGACATGAAAGTTGGTATAACCTGTTGTGCAGCAAGGAGGTTTTATGTGGAGCTCCACATGGTCATGTTGAAAGTGCACTGCAGGATAAGCTGGTCAACAAGCTCCCTTGACACTTGAAGCATCTGTTGAAAAATGGAACATAGAATTTTGAGATTATCGTCAGTTCGGGCTTGGATTGTTTCATTGCCAGCTGAATGGAACCGCATGCAGGGAGATTCCCCAAACAATCTTTGCCATGGATCTCCTACTTTAAATTCTATAAGGCTCTACAGAAATACCTGAATGAAAATTGACCTATTCCATCACAACTCCTAACCAACAATGTTAGGTCCTGGTGATCTGACGAACATTAGCTCTAAGTTACCAATAAATTGACTTGACTTGTTGAAAGATAATGAAGAGTTTTTTGTTTTTCCTATGATACAGGTAAGATGAAGTTGGTCTTCAAAAGCTTATCAATCTCTTCTTTTATTTTCAGTTCCAGGTGAGGCTTTTGACGGCATAATTTTTGTTTCTCGACTTTTACCTATTCATGGAATACAAGATGGTGTTTGTACCGATTCGGGATTTAAGCCAGGCATGTCATCATAGGACCAGGGGAAGATATCCATGTATTCTTTTAAGAGGGAGACCATCTTGCCTCGTTCTTCTGGTGACAAAGAGATTCCAATTTTAGTAGTCTATTCCTCAATTCCTAAGGTGACGTCTAAGGTTTCTTGGACAATAACAATAATACTACTGTGGAATCCTTTCTTAAACTGTCCAGCTTAGAATATGAGTTCCTTAGAGGGAGGTTCTTCATCTACCTCAAAATTTTGTTCTTCTTGATTTTCATCGGCAGGTCAGTCCTCATTTTTTTTTTATTTTTAGTTTCTTCCTTGACTGGGCCCAAGTTTTCACTGGGATTATCGATGGTCTCGACCGTATTTTCTATGATAGTAGTGATGGTGCCGGAGGGGCTGGCCTTGCACAGGGTGTCTGTATAGGCACCCTGCGCCAAACCGTTTTTTTGGCACATGTACTTGGAAATGTCGATGGATCCCTTTGATGGATTCAATGGATGGGGAGTGACAATCCAATTTTCAGTTTCGATTGCCCTAGTTGGTCTAGGGGCCGAGGAAGTGGTAGCCACAGTGTGGACTCCAAGTGTAAGCCATGAAAGGTTTTGTTCCAAAGGCTCTTCCTTTGAGGGAAATTCAATAATTAGCATGGTAGAGGCTTCGGCTTCCCTTGCTTTTCGTATGGGGTGAGGTATCATTGTTTTCATTTCTGTATCCCCAAAGGTATTGTTCAATTGGCTTGTTTGATTGAACCATGATGCTTTTGGTGTCTTTTGAAACTTGTGGTTGGTCCATGTTGATGTTATTAATAAGTATATATGCCCTTGTAATGGTCATGGAAAATATTGGCAGGTGAAGTAATAACTTATGGTTGCTGAGCCATCTTTACCCAACTGCACGACGACATCACATAGGTGTCTTTGGACCAGAACCAGTGATGAACATCTAGAAACATAGAGTTCATTCCATCAACAGCGTTCTTATTTACTGATAGGATAAGGATGGGTTTTCTGGAGAAAAAAATCAAATAAACTATAAGTCACATGCATGCGGATCACCAAGATGGATTAACAAAAACCATTGAGAAGTTTACAAAATTCCATGCAATTGAGTTCATCGCCGGCAATTCTTTAAGATAGGTGCAAGAAATTTGACAATCATGAAGCTTCGGCTTCTTTAGCTCATTGTTGTTCTCTAATAAAAAGAATGTTCTTATTATAATGTAATTTTCTTGTGTGTATGAAACAAATTTGTTTCTGACCATATCCTGCTTCTCCTTTCAAGCATTTGATGTTTCTTTAACTTCTGAATGGTGCTTGTTCTGTTATAGGAATATGTTCACCACATGATCCCATGAAAATTGGTCAAATCTGTCTGTAACTTGGAGCTTTTTGTTAACTTCCAAGTTTATATATTTGGCAGGTAGCCGTCCTCGGGCTGTTGGAAAGAGGACTCCTCGATTTCCTGTTTCATATCTTTATGATAAAGATAACAAAGCAAAGGTCATGGCGCCAAAAAAGCAGGAATTTGATTCAGAGGTAGATCCTGATGAAGATGAAGTTGCTCAAGTTGCATTAACATTGGCTGAAGCTTCACAAAGGGGGGGTTCTCCTCAGGTTTCTCGAACACCAAGCAAAAGAGCTGAGCATACAGGACAAATTCCTTTTCAAAATGGTGACAGGAAGGTAAACATCTATGGAAACTTAGTTTTTATGTTTGATATCTTCTTGGCAATGCCTTCTTGAATAATGGTCGAGAAGACTTGTAACTTTTAAGGTTTTATTCATGGACCACAGTATATGGAAGCTGGGTTTGTGGGTGGAATGCGTAATACAGCAGTGGATGAAGGCTGCGTGGAGGGTAGTTTGGGAAGCAGGGAAGCTGATAATGGAGAAAGTGCAAGACCTAGAAACCATCGATCTCATCTGGATGTTGAAAGTGTTGATGCAAAACAAGCTTCACCAAAGATGAAGAGGATGTTAGGAAAGAAATTGAAAGCCCAAGGGATTGAGTATAATCATGTTGATGATATAAAGGAGGAGTGCAGTTGTACTGATGAAGGGCTTAATCCAAGAGCTGACAATGAAGAGATTGACATGGAAGCTGCTATTGGGAAAAGTGAGAAGTCCTCTCCACCTGTTGTCAAGAAGAGAAGCAGGCAGTTGATTTCTGGAGGCATGTGTTATTCCACTGGGTTGCTTTTTTTCATTCTTTCTTTCTTTGGAGGCTTTATGCTTGCTCATGCTTCTCTTTTCTTGTTGGTGTTGGATTTTGTTTTTGATGCGTTGTTCTAAAGAATCTTAATATAGGTTGTCCTCATGAGCCAAGTCTTCCCACAATGTTCCTGATTTGGTCTCCATTGATATCTTCCTGCTGAAATCATTCTTGCCTTATGGTGTATATATTTTCTTCCATCATTATTTTGAAGCTCTTCTGACTAGTATTGTAAGGAGTTAGGACTTGTGCCAGCTTAATTTGTGTTTTTGCTATACTTTTGTTGCTGGTTGTTAGCAATACTTTCTGTCCTCTAATTTCCCATTATTGTATGTCTTTCACTGAATAACTTGTGATTTAGCCTGCCCATTGCTTTTTTTGGCTTTCTGATGAAAACACTATTTCGACACTAATAAATGCATGTATAGTTTTTATGATTACATCGATAATAATCCAGCGAAAGGAGGATTATTTAGAGCAAGCTCAATGGACAACGGAGATAGAATAGCTGTTGGGAGGTTAGGACACCCAATCTTTAGAGATAAGGAAGGGCATGAACTCTTTGTACGCTGTATGCTTACTTTTTTTGAAACATTTCCAATAGTTTTGGTAGATGGAGACGGAATTGTGAGAGCTACTGCTGATTTTGTTTTGGTTTGCTCAAATGCGTAAATTGGCGATGATTTATTTTTCATATGTTCATTGTTGATTTTATTTTTCATATGTTCATTATGTTTGATGAGAGTTTTATTTCATGTGTGCGTGCGTACACAAGTGTGCAAGAGTGCATGCATGTGGGATACATGCATGTGCTTTGATGACTTTTTATTCTTCTAAGAACTCTTAATCTATGAATTGATTCCGAGCATGAAGCTTTCTTATGGGGCTTTTTCTGTTCAATCTGTGCAGATGAATGCTCGGCCATTGATGCCCTTCAAACTTTGGCTGATTTATCTTTAACTTGCTTGTTGCCATCATCCATTGTAGAATCTGGTGAGCCTTTTCCCTTTTCATTTAATTTATTCATTTACTCTTTATTTAGACAAAAAATTCTACTATATATCTATTTTTGTATGGTTAGGAACAATTATGACCATTTTAATTCTTATAACTTTGCATTGTTTTGAAAAACAAGCTTCTTTTTATTGGATTTCCTATTTTCTATTCTTTTCTTTTTTTTTTCCCATTATGTTTTCAATAAAATGCCAGGCATGTTTGTGACTTATACTTCTTCAGATTTTACTCTTGGAACAATGTGTTCGGGATTGATAGCTGCTAATTATGGTGTTTATCATGTTGCATGACATGGTGTACTATCAATTGCATATCCTCATTTAGAATGTGATGAGCGAATTGTATGTGTTGAACACAAGACACCAGTGTTTGTTGAAGGAAGCTTTTCTTAAATGCATCTTTGATTAGTATTGAGTGCAATATGAGTCTCTTTTAAATTGCAAGTGGAGATAAAGCCATAAAGGTGTTATTTTGTCTAGTTATAGACCACCTTATTCCAACTAAAGCAGTGTGTCTACACATGATTTTTCTTTTTCTGTTGTTAGGCTACATATAATTATCTGATTACATTTCTTTTCCTTTTTTTCTAGCTGAAATATATATATATTGTCCAGACAATCATACTTTGTCCATCTGCAGAAAGTGGGTTCTTTTCCTGTTTTGTATAGCTCCCTTTTATTGATTTTCAATAATGTGGTGCCGCTTAAAATACGTAATTGAAAACGTTAAGGTTTATATATCCCGAGTGTGATCATCCCTAGTATCTGATATTCTGGGGACTTGATTTGTTATGCTCCTTATATAGGAAACACACACATGCATATATTTACTACTATTTGTAATAGTCTTGGCCTTTATTGGCTACTGTGTGCATTCATTTAATTTACGAAAATCTGTTGTTTCTAGAATCATCTGTCCAGGTCAAAGAAGAAAATGGAAGTACTGATAATGTTGATAAGCCCTATGTACAAGAGCATGTTCCTCCAAAATCTCAAAGACAAAAATCTCGTAGCGTGGTTCATAAAGAGAAACGAACTTCATCACAGGGAGCTGAAACTGTGGCTCGTGATAATGCTAAATTGGGAAAGGAAAAATCTGCTAATGCGATCATAAGTACTGACAAGAGTCCACGGTTTCGCCTCTCTATAGATAACATGCGGAAAGGAAAACGGAAGTCGTTAACTGGAAATGTGAAGGTATGAATGAAGATAACATTTGATGTTTGCTTTTGGATATCTTCTAAAATTGGGGTTCTGATAATCCTTTTCTTACCATATGCAGCCTAAACCTTCCAAAGTTGATAGTGAATTGCATTCAAAAGACTCTCAAAAGGCAGAGGTATGGTCATGTTTTTTTTTTACACTTGATTAGACATCTGTTTCATTTACTTATAAAAGGGGCAATGAATATGTTATAAATTGAATGTTTCTTTCTTCATACTTGATGTTGATTTCGATTTCTGCGACCTATAAATCTACATCATTCTCTGTCAGGTATTCAGAACAATCCAAGGAGTATCGTTTTGGTCCTTCCTTTAGGATTCATATTTGGAACTTGTATTACCTTTAAATCTCATAAACAGTGAAGTGCACAGGTCTCGGAATGCAAGATAATATGGTTAATTACTTTTCCTTATTTGTAGTGCTCTTTGTGTGGTTTCCTGTTTGGGTTATTCAGGCATTTTTAAAATGGTAAGAAATATCTTGATTGAAGAAAATTCCAATGAGATTTCGCCACTTGGACCTTGCGCAAGCATCAGTTTTTTTTTTCTTGGTTCATTGAATCAATCCTGTAGTCTTCCATTTATAGTGCATATCTTCCTACAATTGGTTTACATATTTCTGTCTCTCTTATGGTGTGTTTGTCTACTGTTCCCTTCTATTATAATAAGCTCTGTTTCACAGTTTCCAAAAAACAAAAAAAAGTTATGGTTCAAGCTTTTTGAGCGGTAATTATGTTTTCGGAGAATTGGATTTTGATAGCTCCATAGTGACAATTTTGTTGTGCTGCTTAGTTTGAGTTTACTTATGCTATCTAGTTAAAGCTGCCAACCAGCCATGTGATGCATACATGTATATATAGAGATTGTCTACAAAGAGACCATTTATCTTTTGTACATGGAGGTCACAACCATTCCCACTCATTCGATGTCAAATTAGATGGCTTAGGGTGAGTCAGATTTTTTTTTATGGAACTGTCTATTCAATGACACTCTTACAACCACCCATTTTAAAATTTAAGGGACAAGAATGATTGTGACCTCTATGTACAAAAGAGAAATGCTCTCTTTGCATACAATCCCATATATATATATATATATATATATATATATATATATAGAGGAGGAGAGAGAGTAGTAGAGTACGTATTAGTAATATATATACTATTACTAACTAAACTAAACTAAGTTAACGTTAACTTTAACTTTACTTACGTTTAGTTAGTTATTATTATATTAATTTA